TTACATATCTCTAATTTGATTAATAAGTTGAGATGACCATCTAAGTTCTACAAAGTATTGGAGTTTAAACCGTGGATCTAGCACGACTGACGCAATATGTAAAACACTTGTCCTTTGGCAATATTCTAGAAGTTTACCAGATGCAGATTCACACCCTTGCTTAAGCCATTGTGGCGTATCATCTTTTTTTCTAGCTTCTTCAAGCGATTCAAGCAATGAATAATAGACGGGGATAACCATTGACAATGTTGGATATTCTGACGATGACATAAACATGATCACTAAATACAAATTAAACTGAGTAAATGCTTTTACTCTAGAAAATTTCATATTACATATGTTCTTAATTACAGCAAACTCTTTCTATAATGAACTGATAGTTCTGGAAGACAATAAGGTTCGCTATAGAAAATTGCTATGTTGACTTAAAGACCCATGACATCGCTATGCCGAACCATTATGAATTTTTAAAATTATGAGTTCGTTATATTCAGAATTCGTCATATAAAAGTTCGTTATATTCAGAGTCAACCATTTATCTATACTGAAAATATACTGACCATCCTTAAAGGGTAATAAAACTTCAACAAGAAGTTCTATTATTTTCCACTCATTCTCAGTCAAAATATATGGATGTAATTCTGTTTCAGAAAATGACATAGCATTCAACACTGTACGCAGTTTTAGTGCCCGCTCACACATATCGAAGGTGGAATTCCACCGTGTTGCTACATCAAGAATTGGCTTTAGCTCATTAGATAGCTTTAACGTTTTGCGCCGTCTTCGTGATCCTCTTACGCTTTTTATTAATCCACGCAACTATAATAATGTAAAAAAAAAAACCATAAATATATAGTCTTATGAGGATCTTACTTAAAGTATGCACAAAACATTCTAAAATATATTAATGTATTCAGATGCTTTGACTCATTGTTGTATGGTATAACATAATACAAATAAATCATGTGATATAATTTACATGAAACATTAAAATTGGTATAATAACCTTTTCTACTTCTTTCCCTACGACTTTTAAAATACACCGAACAGCAAGATTTAAAATATGGTTAAAGCACCGTATTGATTGCTGTGTACTATTGAATCTAAAACCTGTCATTAGTATAGAATGAGAAAAGTCACGCAAAAATTTTATATTGGAGGATGCATTATCACATATTATAGACATTAATTTTGAGAGTATTCCATTTTTTTGAAGACAGTCTTTCATAGCCTTCGCAATTTCAATACCCGTATGTGAATCCTCCATTAAAATAAAATCAAGTAGAATATGCTTTATTTTCCATGATTGATTTAGATAATGGATCGTGACAGCCATAAATGACTTTTCATTAGTAGAAGTTGTCCAAATATCGGTGGTAATAGCTATACGTCCAGAAACTTCCTGTAGTTTTTTTTTAAGTTGTTCACGTTCTTCATTAAAATTGTTCATAACATTTCGTTTAATGAGGTCAGCAGAAGGTACTAAAAAAAAACTCTAAGTATTTTATATTTTACTGTAGCATTACTAATATATTAAATATACTATTTTTACCAACTGCACTAGGTTCTAAGTAAGTAAATATAGATTTAAGTTCATCATCTTCAATGATTTGAAACGATCGATTATGTTTTACAATCCACCTTTTTACCATGCTAGTAAATTTTTGTTGGTTGAAGGGTTCACGTTGGCGGGCTTTATTACTTAACATTTCCAAAACACTAACTTCCCTTTTTGATTCATCTAGTTCAGGTACTTTGCCTTTATGTCTCTTGAGATGTCTTAAAAGATTTGATGTCGTCCCATCATTATAGGCCAGCGTTCTCTTACAAATATCACATGTGGCACTGCCTTGTTCCTTTCTAAAATACAACCACACAATGGACCTATAAAATAAAAAGTAAATAAATAATAAAAAGCTGATAAACATAAAATATTAAAGTGAGACTTCGCATATATTACCCGTCATTTTTAGAGGTTTCATTATAAGTTGCTTGGGATGACGATTCATTTGAACAAGATTTGTCTTGATGTGGATCACCTTGGTATGATTCATCAGGATGTGATTTATCTTGGTATGATTCATCAGGGTGTGATTTATCTTGGTACGTATCCTTTTGATACGATTCATCTTGGTATGATTCGTCTTGATTCAGGTAAGATTCATCCTCATTTAGGTAAGGTTCATCTACATACAAATCATCTGGATAAAATTCACCACGATACAGAAACGAGGGACCACTCTCTTCAAATTCATCAAATTCATCCTGCAAATGCGACTTTGTTGATATTGGAGAAGTTTAAATAAAAGATTGTTAATATTTTAATACAAAAATAATCAACCTTTTCTAAGCGAATATTCTCTAATATAAGCTGTAATAAAGGAAAAAAAAAACTCACCATAATAAGATCAACAAGAACCAACCAAAAAAAAATAAATCGATAAAAAAAAAAAAAAAAAAAACTGGAAATGCGAGTTTTTTTTTTCTAAACATATGGTGCAAGGAATTTAGAAACCTTAATCACTTTATATAGAATAAGGACAACTAACTCAGTGAAGATTATCATTCTTAAAGAACGACCAAGTTTAGCAATATGAATATAAATGGTCTGCTTTTAAGTATATTTTGTTATTGGTGTATTATTCTATGCAAGGAGGTTGAAATCAAGTTTTCTGCATTTTATTGAGGTTTATAACTCAATTTATTTTCAATGAGATACTAATTACATACGATCTCTATATGAGAATATAGAGGTTCTTGAACTTACTGCAAGTATATATATATATATTTAAGTGCGATTTTTCTGGTAAAAAAGCTGTAATACGTAGGAGTAAGAAAAAGTTATTTAATGCATACTTTCTTAGGCTTTTTCTCTCATGCTTTCTTATGCTTTTCCACATGCTTTTTTTTTTAAAAAAAAATGCAGGTTTTAAAATGCAGGTTTAAGTGCAAGCTTTTACTAAATGCAGGTTTTACGATATTTACGGGTCTTTAGTGTTATTTTAGACCAAAATGCAAAAATACGATCTTTCAGCAATAAAGCTTTATTACACCATCTTCCTTTTTATTATTATTATTATGATGATTTTTTTATTATTTCAGGTTTACTTTTCTTTTTGGTAGTGATTTTTATATATCGTATTTTCCTAATGAGAGAAAATATCAATTAGTAATCAAACCCTTTATATAAACATTATTGATTAAATCAGTGATCAATCCACACTTCATACATACGTAATTCGATTCTCTGATTTCAGCATCCCTCAGTGCTGAAATAAATCACATGCCCTGTGACTTAACCTGATTGGCTAAAATTCGAACAAGAGTATCTACGAAAAGAAGTTAAAGCATTAGTAAAAGTGCTAAAGAGAATAATAAGTTACTGTACAAAGAGTAATAGAACACTTATCTGGCCCTGGAGATATCTTCTCATTTAATTGTTGGTTTGAGTAGTATAGTAATAGTAGTGTAGATTTGTGTGTATTAGTGTAGAGTTGCTATTTTTTGCCCGGCAGTTATTTCGACACAGCTCACACTTTTTCAACGTAAGTTATAAATTGATTACTAATCGATTTGTAAGGCTTTAAACGATCTCATTTTCTCGCGAATATGTTTCAAAAATATCGTATTTAACCAGATATTGGCTATCTGATCATTATCGATTAATATAAGGTAGCTGCGCAGCATGTGGTGCCGCGCAAAACCAGTACGATCGGCATCTGTAAGTTTATGCGCACTATGTATATACTCAGGTATATACAGGATTAGTGGCTAGATACATATTGGTTTTTCAAAATAAATGCAAAACTTGTCAAAGCGGGTGTGGATTGTGTATACTCAATGAGTATGGGAATTTTATTTTGTCAAATTTATGTGCAATTGTCTATTAACGTTTAGTTAATATATGAGTGATGTTAAGGAAGAAGGGCGCACTCGTTTTTTTAGTAAATAACAAGAGCAGAGCGGCGCTCACGACGCTTATTTTTAAATGGTTAACTAATTGTGTAGTATTATTACATTTGCGCATATCATTGATGATCATAAAGTTTCTCACAATTTAACAGACAACTATATATATTTTTTTATTTAATTATCCGGTTAGAACGGGAAATGGCATAACGATATGTAATTAAAATTTTCACGATTCTTTTTGGTTAACCTTATATGCAAATTTTAACACATACTATCATAATCATCTGATCCAGCCAATCAGATGTCATAAAGGGTACATTTGTATGAATGGCCATCGTTTTACGATAAGAGGAAAAATTGCCATTCAATCGAAAATTGTTGGCGTTCATAAATTTTTGTTGCCACAGTCGTTATGATTGAAATTAACATTAGCGTGAAGTTACACGCGAATGAATTATGAAATCGAAATTAGATAGTGTGAACTTATTTCCGGAAAGTATAATTTCGAAAAGTATCCACGCCATTACACTGTGACTGGGAATTTTTCTATGAGATACTCCTTATTGCAATATATTAATGTAATTTTCTCCATAATTATATTATCGTTATATTCTCACTAATTCTCACACGAGCATGAAGTATTCCCAATAAGGTATGTGAGTACAACATACGTATGTTAGATGCAGGTCATATAGTGATGATCATTAATCAACTTTTTTTATAATTAGCGTTAGCAGTATATCGATATAGCGTAAAATAGTAAAAACATATAAAATTCAAATTGCAATAACTCTTGAACCAGCAGATCCACACAAATAAAATTAAATTCGTTGTGTTCGTTTTAATGTGCTCTTTAAAGTAACAACGCTCTTTTTTTTTACTTTTTGGAGCGTAGTGGAGGACTCAAAGTAATACCAAAATTGTCGTTATTGATGCATTTTTAAAAAAAAGTAACTGGATTTTCTATGTAAATTGTAACAATGGCTACAGACAGAAAATTCAAAGTTATGTTTTTGACATTTTTATTAAAAATGCATCAAAAACGATAATTTTGGCATCACTCTGAGTCCTCCGCTATACTCCAGGCAATGATAATAATAATAAAAAAAGAGCGTTGGTACTTTAAAGAGCATACTTAAACAAACACAATGAATATAATTTTATTTGTGTGGGTCTGCTGGTTCAAGAGTTATTGCAATTTGAATTTTATATGTTTTTACTATTTTACGCTATATCGATATACTGCTA